CTTTATGATAGGCCTGAGGTCAGACCGTTAGACTGGTTCTAGGGGGAGAGCAGCAACCAAATGGGTGTTGTCATCAATAAACTTGTTCTGATCTATGATTTTCTAAGTTCGTGTAGGGTATATATAATGTGTTTGACAGTTGGTGTACACCGTGTTGTAGGAAATGTTTGTACCTTACCCCGAGGATCAGTCATGATATGCTCATATTTATTTCAACCATAATTTGAATTGGTTTACAATTCATTTTCTGCAGAGAGAGAGAGAGAGAGAGAGAGAGAGAGAGAGATGTTGGCATTGGACGTGGTCTTATTAGCTAGAGATGTCGGTATCACATGCATCAACCAGTGGCGCCTTTTGTTGAGAGTCAAGTCAACGTTGTTTGTTCATTAATTAGTTATGTTCTGTGCAAATCAAAAACATGTTAATTACCTCCGCTACGCCTCATCGCTGGATTCAAAACTGCCCGCTTGGCCTCGTCATAGTAGTTGCGCACAGTCTAGGGGCAAAACTGAGCATGATTCACAACTGAGGGCAAAACTAAGCAAATGGACACCACTGAGGGCAAAAGGATAATTAACCCTATTATATGCCCATCTTTATTTTCAGCAGAATCTGAATTGTTCTATAATTTTTTTAGAAACAGAAGGCCCTTGATAGTAAGCAATATGTTCATAACTTGCTTGGCCTATTTATATTCAAAAAGCTAATGGGTCTTAAATCTCACTCAAACCAAAATTTGCACATTAGGAGTGAAATTACAAAGAAAATATTTTTATGAGATATATCATGCTCCTTTTCTTTTGTTTAGGGGCTACTAAGTCACACAATTCCAAAAGTAGTATTAGCCAGTAGCAATTCAAACTATATGTACCAATACGACACCTTGTAAGCACCCAATTGGTCTTTATGTATAACGTATTGTATTACTAGCTGGCAACACACATGACATGAACTAACATCTATTAAGGCCCCCGAATTAATGAGAACATGGGTTTACATATCTACTTTTTGTGTTAACCAAATGTACTTCTAGATCATCAGTTTGACCGGTGAAATATGAGTTATGTGACACAAAAATGTATACCATTTAATTCGTATTGGAAAGAAGCACCACTACATCCATCTTGTGTCCGCTACTTTTGGTGCTCATCTAGGAAGTTTACTAACATAGAAGTGAAGTCAATGGGGAAACAACTAGGCAACGATTAAGGAGTAAATCATTTTATTTTGAAACCATATCCATATATAAGCCAACTTGCATTGGTTCGACAACTGCTATAATGATGTTATTTTCAGGATTTGTGGTTAGATTCAGTGGACTTTAAGATAGGCCTGAGGTCAGACCGTTAGACTGGTTCTAGGGGGAAGAGCAGCGACCAAATGAGTGTTGTCATCAATAAACTTGTTCTGATCTCTGATTTTCTAAGTTCGTGTAGGGTATATATAATGTGTTTGACAGTTGGTGTACACCGTGTTGTAGGAAATGTTTGTACCTTACCCCAAGGATCAGTCATGATATGCTCATATTTATTTCAAGCATAATTTGAATTGGTTTACAATTCATGTTCTGCAGAGAGAGAGAGAGAGAGATAGAGAGAGAGAGAGAGATGTTGGCATTGGACGTGGGCTTATTAGCTAGAGATGTCGGTATCACATGCATCAACCAGTGGCGCCTTTTGTTATACTACAAGAGAGTCAAGTCAACGGTGTTTGTTCATTAATTAGTTATGTTCTGTGCAAATCAAAAACGCGTTAATTACCTCCACTACGCCTCATCGCTGGATTCAAAACTGCCCGTTTGGCCTCGTCATAGTAGTTGCGCACAGTCTAGGGGAAAAACTGAGCACGATTCGCAACTGAGGGCAAAACTAACCAAATGGACACCACTGAGGGCAAAAGGATAATTAACCCTATTATATGCCCATCTTTATTTTAAGCAGAATCTGAATTGATCTATAATTTTTTTTAGAAACTGAAGGCCCTTGATAGTAAGCAATATGTTCATAACTTGCTTGGCCTATTTATATTCCAAAAGCTAAAGGATCTCAAATCTCACTCAAACCAAAATTTGCACATTAGGAGTGAAATTATGTAGAAAATATTTTTATGAGATATATCATGCTCGTTTTGGTCTTTTGTTTAGGGGCTACTGAGTCACACAATTCCAAAAGTAATATTTAGCAAGTTGCAATTTAGACTATATGTACCAAACCGACACCTTGTAAGCACCCAATTGGTGTTTAGGTATAACCTATTGTATTACTAGCTGGCAACACACATGAAATGAACTAACATCTATTAAAGCCCCCAAATTAATGAGCACATGGGTTTACATATCTACTTTTTGTGTTAACTATGTGTACTTCTAGATCATCAATTTGACCGATGAAATATGAGTTATGTGACACAAAAATGTATACCATTTAATTCGTATTGGAAAGAAGCACCACTAGATCCATCTTGTGTCAGCTACTTTTGGTGCTCATCTAGGAAGTTTACTAACATAGAAGTGAAGTCAATGGGGAAACAACTAGGCAACTATTAAGGAGTAAAACATTTTATTTTGCAACCATATCCATATATAAGGCCAACTTGCCTTGGTTCGACAACTGCTATACTGATATTATTTTCAGGATTTGTGGTTAGATTCAGTGGACTTTAAGATAGGCATGAGGTCAGACCGTTAGACTGGTTCTAGGGGGTAGAGCGGCAACCAAATGGGTGTTGTCAACAATAAAGTTGTTCTGATCTCTGATTTTCTAAGTTCGTGTAGGGAATATATAAGAGTCAATTACACTGGTGGTGCCACAACTTGGCGTAAACAGTCACTTTGGTGATAGAAGTTGTGGCATACATTGAAATGGTGCAAAAACTTGGCTTGAATGTGCAAATACAATGATTATCCCTTTTGTATATGGAATCTGTGCTGACTAGGCGTGTGGACAAGGGGCCTCTGGTCTATTTTTTCAAAACAAAAAAACCTCAAAATATTGTTTTTTTTAATAAAAGATGGTGGAGCGCCCAGGTTTCGAACCTGCGACCATCTGCAACAAAACAAGTGAATCTAACCACTATGCCATATGCTTTGTACTCCCTCTGTTTCTTTTTAGTCTGCATATAAGGTTTGGTCAAAGTCAAGCTTTGTAAAGTTTGACTAACTTTATATTAAAAAATGTAAACATTGACAATATGAAATCAACATTATCAGATGCACCACGAAATGTATTTTCATATTATACAGTTTTAATATTATAGATGTTCATATCTTTTTATATAAATTTGGTCAAACTTTGTGTAGTTTTACTTTGACCAAATCTTATATGCGGAGTAAAAAGAAACGGAGGGAGTACTTTCTATTATGGTTAAAAGCATATATATACCTTTGGTACGCAGGTGGAGCTTAAATTGGCTGCAAATATTGCGGCCTATTTGCGCCAACTATTTTTTTTAACATATTTGTAAAATGTAAGTACTAAAACTTATATTCAAACATTTATGTGCTATAAATATTATACAAACAAACTATGATTTGTAAATGTACAACCGCGTATTATATTAAAAACATTTAATTGATATGGATATTTCTGTGTTATAAATTTCAATAATACAAACATTTTAATAATAATATAATTAACATGATGAATTATAAATGTGGGTATCTGTATTAACTTAAATAATATACATGATTGAATATTCAAATCAAAATTTTAAATGTAAGAATATTAATATTTTTAATTATACAAACATTGAACTATACAAATGTGCATATAATTATTAAAATGCCTGTATAACTGAAACAATATTTTTAGTTTTAGTTTATGAAATATTTGTATTGTATAAAATTATAATTTTTTTATACTTCAGAATGTCAATTATATAATAGTCGGTTAAAAATGTACGGCAGAGTGGTTTGGCCTGTATATGATGTAGCAAGTAGTTTTGGGTTCGAATCCTGGCAGCACCTACTTTTTTGTTATTTATTTTTAACAGGCAGGACCCGCTGGTCACTGAGGAGAAGAATGCCACGTCTATATGGACCTTTTAAAAAAATCAAAGTTCCGAGGTTTATTTTTGTGAAAATCAGGGCACACGCTCTTTCTCCTTAGTCTAGCCACTGACAGCAGGGTCCACATGCCTAGTCCGCGCACATTTCGTATGCAAACAGGATAAGCAACCGTATTTGTATGTCCGAGCTAAGTTTTTGCACCACTTCAATGTACGTCACAACTTATAGCACTAAAATGACTGTTTACGCCAAGTTGTAGCACCAACAGTGTAAATGACTCAACATATAATGTGTTTGACAGTTGGTGTACACCGTGTAGTAGGAAATGTTTGTACCTTACCCCGAGGATCAGTCATGATATGCTCATATTTATTTCAAGCATAATTTGAATTGGTCTACAATTCATTTTCTGCAGAGAGAGAGAGAGAGATGTTGGCATTGGACGTGGTCTTATTAGCTAGAGATGTCGGTATCACATGCATCAACCAATGGCGCCTTTTTTTATATTACAAGAGAGTCAAGTCAACGTTGTTTGTTCATTAATTAGTTATGTTCTGTGCAAATCAAAAACGCGTTAATTACCTCCACTACGCCTCATCGCTGGATTTAAAGGCTGGTGCTGCTGGATGCAGGGGATATATGCTCATCGCCAAGGAGCGAACAAGTTCGTCATCATCTTCCGTGTTAACTTCGCCTGCAGGTTCGTGGTACATGTGCAATCTTGATTATCTATATCTACTGATTCTACCTACTCTTTCAAGCAAGTAAATCATTCATCGTGACCGACGGAACATGTCTAGCAGCTGGTTTGTACTCCAATATACTTTTGGTTTGAATAGTTTCAGTCTTTTCTCTTTCCAAAGAAGTTAAGCTTTAGCAAAACAACTGCTGAACGATTAAGCATCTTCTCTTGTCTTTGGTTTGGAAGATAATTTTATTCTCAGAAGAAGAAGATCATCGACCAACAAGGATAAGCCTGGGTGGGGGATAGAGCATGGATTTGCAACTCCATTTGATTGAAACTATTACAAACGATTTTTCAGAGTATCAGAAAGTTGGAAGTGGTGGGTATGGAGATGTTTACAAGGTATGACTATTTTTCAGATTTATCATGCCACCACTGGCCACAAGCTCGATCGTGCTCACAAGTGATTTCAACAGGCAGTGTATAAAGGGGAAGAGATTGCTGTGAAGAAACTTCATCCCTTGCAAGGACTTGATGATAAGCAATTTCACAGTGAATTGCTTAACCTCACCAAGGTTTCTCACAAAAATGTTGTACGATTAATTGGCTACTGCTATGAATCTCGGCATAAATACGTCAAGAACAATGGGGAGACTATCTGGGCGAAATCGATGGAGCGTGTTCTCTGCTTCGAATATATGCAGGGTGGAAGCCTCGAAAAACATATTGCAGGTATTATGTATGATGAAAAATTTGCTCTATTTATTTGTTTGCAAGAAAACATAAAGGATTGAGTATATTATTACGTACATTTCGCGAATATGCCTATTTTCTATCTTTATTTTTCCTTTAAATTGCAGATGAATCCTGTGAACTTGACTGGCCCACATGTTACAACATCATAAGAGGGACTTGCGAGGGTTTAAATCACCTTCACAGTGCTCCAGATAACCCTATTTTCCATCTGGACTTAAAGCCAGCTAATATACTGCTAGATAAGAGCATGACACCCAAAATTGCAGATCTTGGTTTGTCACGGGTTTTTGCTTCATCAGAAACACATCAAACAGAGATTGTCAAAGGAACACAGTAAGTTGATGTCTCATGTTCGAAGCCGTTTATTTTAATAAAATCCTTTTAGCAAAGTTTTTCTCTACATATGAATATGTGATGGTTATGATATCATGTAGCGGGTATATGCCACCGGAATACGTAGCCCATCGCCGTATATCAAAGAAGTTTGACGTGTTCAGTTTTGGCGTCATAATTATAAAGATGGTGGCTGGAAATACTGACTATTCTGACATGCCTCCCAAGGAGTTTATCAAGCTTGTAAGAAAATCCTATGCAACTTTTTCAAAAGAAAAAAAAATCCTCTATCTAAGCATGAACATACATTGTACAACTTTAGTTACTGCGCCATGCTTGCGTTGCGTGCAGGCAAGGGAAAACTGGACCAAAAGGTTGCAGGCGATGCCGGACTCATACTCATCACACGAAGTAGACATCCTACGAGTCACTAAGTGCGTTGAGATTGCATTAAGGTGTGTGGACAAGGATAGAGATAAAAGGCCTTGTATTAAGGATATTGTCCAAGAACTTGAGGAACTAGAAGCTGAGATACAGAAAATGTTACAAACTTCTGATCTTTCAGAAAACCTAACCGTCCAGGTAGGCATCAGGGATCGATCACTGGAAAGGCATGGATGCCACTCCTTTTGTACTGTCCCTGTCATTTTTGTCAATGTTTTCTGATGTTGTCTCAAATTTTTTGGCAAGTCAGTTTTCTGTCAAATTTGTATCCACGTAATAATTGAGCACTTCTTCTTTTCCTTGCAGAGAAGCCGTGGCACCAACATTCTGTCGGTCGATCCGACACTAGAGATGAGGTTCCTCTTCGAGCCAAGGAAGGAGGTATCATGCTGCCTGCAACTTACCAACAAGACAGACGACTTCATAGCGTTCAACGTAAATATAAACCGACCCAAGTACCACACAAGGCCGAGCAGAGGAACCATGCCACCATGTTCGAAGAGGTACATTGCCATAACGCTGCGAGCACAAGCGGTGGCCCCGCTCAACATGCAGTGCCACGACATGCTGCTTGTGCAGAGCATCCGCATCAACCAAGAGTTGGCATCAGATCCTGATAAGATCGATTATCAAGAATTGTTTGAGGTGGTCGTGGAGGATGATGTGGTGAAGCTACCGATCGTTTATGTTACAGCAGAACAATAGTCTCTTCCGCCAGGAACTGAGAAAGTGAGAATGTCTCAGGTGGTATATGGATGCATTTGTAATTAAATTCAGAAAATTCTTCAGTTGTTTGCAAAATGGTGTTTATCTTTGAGCTGCATTTAATTGTTTCAACTTTGATTTTGCCCTTGAATTAAAAGCTGATTTCTGTCTGTACTTATTAATCCAAACAAGAAACCAAAGCAAGGGCACCTGAAATATAAAAGGTCAGTGGGTCAAATTCTTTCTTGCTATCCCTAGCCCCCGCGGTCGTCCCCCGCGAGCGACTCGGGCGGCGGCGCGCCTTCCCCCTCCTCTTCCCCTCCCCTGCCCTCGCCGCCGTCCCCAGCCGCTGGGGCAAAACCCCTCTCGGTGGCTGGCGGCGGGGCCCCTCTCTCCGCCGCTCAGGGTTGGCCGGTGCGGGGCGGCTTGATCTGGCGGCGGCGGCGGGCGTGCGCGGGGCTCGGTGCTGCAGCGGCGGTGCCTCCCGGCGGCGGCGTGGTGGGCGACGGTGGCGACGCAACGGCTGCATGCCCGTGGTGTCGGCGGTGGTCCGGATCTGACCACGGGCTGCTGCGGGTGGATCTGGTGGATCCTTTCTTTTCGGGCTCTGGCTCGGCCTCCCTCTACTCTCGGTCGGGGTCGGAGGTGGGCTGGAGCTGGTAGAGGTGGGGGCGTGCCGGCCGGATCTGACGCGACTTTTCCGGCAGGCGGCGCGGGTTGGGGCAGCGGGCGGGCGTGGATGCTGCTCCGGCCATGGGCGGCAGCGCGGGGAGGTCCGGGGGCGGTGGCCTCCTGGTGGCGCGGCGGCTAGACGGTGGCCGGATGCTCTGGCCGCGGCCGCGGCCGGCTTTTCCGGTTTCCGCCTGTCTGTGGTTTGGCCAATTCGACCTTTGCTTCACCTCCTCGTCATCCGGGCTCTACTTGCATCGAAGGGCTGGCCCACTCCCAGCTATGGGCCATCGCTCGTCTCGCGCCCGGTGCCGCGGGACTGAGCTCATCTCGCGCCCGGCAGCAGGACCGAGCACATCTCGCGCCCTATAGCAGGACCATGCTCCTCTCGCGTCAGGCAGCAAGACCGAGCTCGTCTCGCGCCCGGCAGAAGGACCGAGCTCGTCTCGCGCCCGGTGCTGCAGGATGGTGCCATGGTGGCCAGTCGTGGCCGGCCTATTGGGTCTCAGCGCTGGGGGCCGCTCAGGGGTGCGAAAGGCCGGGCCTTTCCGCTCGTATCTTTGGTTGGGGTAGTGACGGGTCAGGGTCTCGTGTGAGGTGGTGTCTTGGTCTTAGCGCTCTTTAGGAATGCCTTGATAGACATTAGGATGCGTTTTGATAGCTTTCGAAGGCATTTTTTAATGCCTCCTAATCGCTACCCTGTTGTAGTGAACTTTACATTTTGGCTAGCAGTTCATGCTGCGTCTATCGAAAGATTTCTATGATGCGGCACGCTCAAAATTAACGAGCCGTCACTATCCAATCACAGTCCACCACCCGGTTGCCGACTCCGGCGGGCCATGAGCTCGTCCACCAGCTGTCCAGCATCACCGCACGACGATCCACTGCGCTCCTCGCTTTTAGGCCGAGGTCCCTCGCCCTGCTTCGCATCGCGTCGCCTTGGACCTCCATCAATGTCCTTACAACACCGGCGATCACCTCGGCGCCGATCACCCGATGGGTCTCCGCGGACGACCCGTAGTCCTTGGCGCCGACGCTGACGCCGACCGCGAGCACGTCCACGACGAGCTTCTCGTTGAAGAACTGGTCAGCGTGGCGCGGCCACGTCACCATCGGCACGCCGGCGCTCACCGCCTCCAGCGTCGAGTTCCACCCGCAGTGCGTCACGAAGCCGCCGACCGCTGTGTGGTTTAGGATGAGCACCTGCGGCGCCCAGCCACGGATGATGTAACCACGAGAAGCCGTTGGGAAGCCTTCGGGTATGTCCGATGATGCTGCGTCGGCGTCGGAGATGACCCACACGAAGTCCTTGCCGGAGAGCTTGAGGCCCCGTGCGAGCTCCTGGAGCTGCTCCGGCGAGAAGCGGGTTAGCGTGCCGAAGGCGACGAAGACTACCGATCTGGCCGGCTTGGCGTCGAGCCAGGGGATGCAGCCGTCCGCGTCCGGCGAGAGCGTGTCGGTGCCTCTCGACGCCTCGTCCTTGCTGCCGCTGGCGAGCGCGACTGGCCCGACGAGCCACGCGCGGCGGCGGAGCGTCGTGCGGTAGTGCTCCACGTAGTCGGTCTCGAGCTCGTGGAAGCTGTTGACCAGCTCGCCGTAGCTTTTTTGGTCCGCGGCGTAGATGCCCTTGACGAACGCCAACTGGTCCGGGCGCGTCATCATCTGGCGCGGTGCGGCAGCCCGGCCACGGAGAAGACGGCGTCGGGATCACCCTCGTCGTCGTCGGGGTTGTGGTTGCCCAGCATGCTTTCGGCGCAGCAGCGGGCGAACATGCTGGTGCCGAGGAACGCGAGCCGCGGTACGCCAAATTCGGCCGCGACGTCGAGCGACCAGGGGAAGAAGCTATCGGAGACCACGGCGTCGAGGCCGGCGTGGTGGTCGGCGAGGAACTGCCGGAAGGGCGCCCGGAGCAGCCGCGCTGCCTGTTGGAGCTTGACGTGGTCGCCACTGGAGCCGCTCTGGGCGCCCGGCGAGAGACCGACGTCAGGGAAAGGCACGACGGCGACGTCGATTGGTGGGGAACGGAGGTCGACGATGGCGTGGATGATGGAAGCTTGCACCGGGGGTCGGCCATCGGGATGAGGTGGCCGGGGATGAGGTATGGGAAGAAGAGCATGTGCAGCGGCTGCTGGCCGTCCTCCGCAGGCGCCATGATCGCCTTCCCACGCCAGACGCCGGCCGTGCGGGCCTGTCTTATACGTACAGGCTCAAGGATTTGAGGACCGGAGCTGGAGCAAAGTGCAAAGCGCAAAGGTAGAACAATGGCACACACCAGACAGGTCGTACGTGCTGAATAGGGACGCCGATGTCAATGTGCCGATGCGCCACTACCGTAAACGTCGACAACAGCTGCCGAGCATTCTACTTTATCTCAGATTCGCAAGACAAAACATATTGGATGCCAATGAAGTCCCCATTTTGCACCAAAGGAAAACCTTTGCTAATAGCATCTACCGTCGAACTTGACAAATCCGATCCCTCGACGTCTCAAATAATGCATTCTTCATCTGGATACCATAAATTAAAGGGAGCTCCTGGAACTCATTCGAATGAGATATAAAATGGTCTCAGTCGAATGAAGTATTGATGACGTCGCTGGTTGTTTGTCGCAGCCCGATCCCGTAGCAGACCCGAGTAGACTTGTTCCTTTCTCACCGCACGAAACAAATAAAAAGCCCATTTCGGTTGTAACTTCTGAGTTGTTTGTTGTGGGTTGTGGGCCTTTGTGTTGTGGGCCTTTTTGGGTTGTTTGTTTTCGGTTGCGAGCCTCTTTGCAAAAAATGATTATATGTGGACCGTTGCAACCTTGGACGAGCGGGCTCCCGTGCTGCACGTTCTCTCGTCCCTCCCCTGTCTTCCTCTACTTCACACTGATTTGAAACAGTAACAACACCCCCCAGAATGGGGGAGGGCTTCTGGAAAGATACGTTAAAGGAGGAGCAACCTGCCATAGACTTGAGGATAAAGAAAAATGAAAAAGAAAATACAGGAACCAGTGGCTGTACTTCTGTTTTTCATCCTTAGACATGATTATATGTGTGTGGAAAAAAATCTTTATGACTAAGATATATTGAAAAAACAATGAGTACTAACAACCATCTAAAAAAACGCTAAGACAAATGACCCGGCAAAAATGATTAGAAAAAGGCTTCACCGTCGCCGACAACACTACCCCTAACCTGTTGGTTGTAGTCACGTTATACGTCTTACAGGTGCACTTGGGTGCGTTTAGTTGTGGTTGCGCTCTAATTGGGGCAATTGCAACTACAAAAAAAAAAGTTAAACTTTAATGAAAATAATAATAATAATAATAATTAAGGGGCTGACATTATATGTCTTGCGGGTTGCGCTTGGGTGTGCTGAGTTGCAAATTGCGCTCGGGTTGGAGCGGTTGCAAGTACAATAAAAAGACTTAAAAAAAAGGAACCAATTTTATCGGCGTCCACAACCCTCCCCCCGACCCCCTGTTGTTGTCACATTATATGTTCTGCACTTGCATTTGGGTGTGTTGAGTTGCGATTGTGTTCGGGTTGGGCGGTTGCAACTACAAAAAAATGAAACCAATTTCATCGGCACCGACAACCCCCCAGTTGCGGTCACATTATATGCTCTGCAGTTGCGCTTGGGTGTGCTGAGTTGTAATTG